ACCTCAAATTTGTCTTGGGCACCAATATGCACGTCAGATAGTCTTAAAATGACTGTTTTCATCCACTGCGCAGAAAGAATTGCCTTAAAAGCCTAGGCTCTCATTTGAGGCTGAACAAAACCGTGATTTCCCCAGCACCCTTCCCACCCTCGTAGGAATAGTTTTCCAGGGCAAAGTTAATCTGTACTATTAGGGTGGTGTACTAATCTATGCTCTGTTTTTCTTTGACCATGTCACACCTGCTGGTGATTGCTTCGTGGTATGAATGAATTCTTGAAGGGTACTCTAATTGCTTTCTCTTTCTAAATCAGTTCTTTCCTTGAAGATACAACTTTCTTTAAAATTTCAGATTAATATGAGGGTACAAATGTTTAGGTTATATTGTTTTCATTTCTGAGGTGACATTCAAGTTGGAGTTGAGCCCTTCACCCAGGGGGCGTGCTGAACACATCGTGCACATTAGGTGAGATTCTGCAAGTTCCCCTCCTCCTCCTCCTTCTCCCTCCTCCCCTCTCCCTCCTCTACCCTCCCCGTTTGCTAGACAATACTTGTGTTTTCTTTTTGTGGGAGTGTAGTTGTTTATATATTGGTTTCATATTAGTATTGAGTACCTTTGGCATATTTGTTTCCACCTTGAGATATTTTACTAAAAAGAGTATGTTTCAACTCATCCAGGTAAACATAAAAGAGGTACAGTTTCCATCTTTTCTTATGGCTGGATAGTTCTCCATGGTGTACGTATGGCACAGTTTGTTAATCCATTCATGGGTTGAGACACACCTGGGCTGTTTTCACATCTTGGCAATTGGAAGACACAATTTTTTTTCTTCCATGAAATCATCCAAGACTGTGCCAATTGCAGTGGCTTTTACTTCCCTGAAGGCCTACATGCTACCGTGTTGATTGACATGGCATCGTGGTGCCTGTTAACTAACTCTTTAATATTTCTTGTCCTGTGTGTCTTTCATCTCCTCCAAGCTAAGTGCCAAATATAGATAACATTTATTTGAATATTGCACAGTGTCTAACTGAACTCTGTGCAAAGTATTTAATTAAATACTGGGTTAGTAAAGTGGAAAATGAGTCTAGCTCTTTTTCAAGGTGGCAGTACCAAATCTGGAGAATTTTGCAAAGTTCTTTTGCAATACATGACCAAGGAGGGGTCAGCACTTTCTAAATATTGACAGCAGAATTCACAGCCTAAAATTTAAACCTCAATTTCCAAATAGAGGTATGTATGAAATAACTGATTATTCATCATCTGAAGGGGTGCAAAGCTAATGGAGTCAGCTAGAAGCACAAGAAAAGTCTTTGATCCATAGCATTACAAACAAACAGAACATTCCCTTTTATTACTGAAGCTTTACCCCTCCCCCAGCCTTTCCAAATGACCTCCCATGATAGAAGGGCACCTTCATAAAAACAGTATTTCTTTTTTTTCCCACACAGTCATTTTTGGTAAACACTACGTAATAGTTTTGGTTTCCTCATTGTCTGAAGCTGGTCCAGTAAGTAATTCATTTATTGACCCTTTCAGCATTCGTGGAGGAGCTGGTATGGTACCTGCTGCAGGCCAGTGTCTGCAGGAAAGGATGGAATTAACATAGATGTGACTCTTGACCTTGTGGAACTTGTCAAATAGCCACCAGTGATGTTGAATCAAATGAGGAGTTGGTCACTGTGACATCAAATTCATTATACATACTGTTACATATAACATCCATCGCCAATAGTGTATTTATGATGTTATATAGAATGGATAAAAGTCCTAATTACAGCTCATTAAACAGTTAATCCCAATGGGCAGAATAACGTGTTGGTCTCAGTAGGAACCAAATTGCACTGTTTTTCTTTCCCTTAATTTTTCTTTTTGCTTGCCTGTCTGTCTGTCTGTCTTTCTTTCTTTCTTTCTTTCTTTCTTTCTTTCTTTCTTTCTTTCTTTTTTGACAGAGAGTCACTCTGTCACCTCCAGTATAGTGCTGTGCCATAATAGCTCAGAGCACCCTCAAACTCCTGCACTCAAGCAATCCCCCTGCCTCAGTCCCCCAAGTCACTGGGATTATGGGTACCTAGCGCTATACCCAGCTAGCTTTTCTATTTTTAGTAGAGACAGGGTCTCACTCTTGCTCAGGCTAGGCTTGAATTCCTGAGCTCAAGGGATCCTTCCACCTCAGCCTCCCAGGGTGCTAAGATACAGGTGTGAGCAGCTGTATCTGGCTTGTTTATTTCTTTTCCATGTTACTTCCTTCAACTTGGCAAAAATAAGTAAATAAATAGGTAAATAAATAACTTCAGCATGAAAAAACTATGCTAAAATATCTTAGTGTGTTTTCAGAAGTATTAGTATCAACTACCCACTCCCACCAAGGTAATTAAAAGATGTTATTTAAGGATATACTTGAATATCCCAGGGCAGTAAAAAGATAAAGTCTGTAGTAGTTCTAAGTCCATGCTGCATAGGTCAACTCCAGTGTTCACTGTCCTCAGAATCTACACCAGCCCTGTCTGTAGACTCCACCATGATTTTCTGGTTTGTGATTATTTTACAGCATCTTAGTATGATCCGTTCAAAGACTGATCTTGGTGAATATTTATACAGATGTCTACACTTCGCAGCCACCCAGCTGTGAACAGACATCGTGGAAACCTTGGTAAGCCCTTTGTAGTGTGGTCATGCATTCTGCATGCATTATTTATAATCTCTCCTATGTCTTCCTGACGCAAAATGAGCCCAGAGTCAACTGTTTACAGGCTAAATCTCCTAACAAATGCTCTTGTAATAGAAAGGATAAAAGAAGGACAACAAGGTATTACTAAGTAATAATCACTGATAAGCTTTTGCAAGGGCTTGCTTGGAAACAGATTTCCTTTAAGGCTGGCCAACAACTCCTAATACGGGTGTTGCTTGTGTCAATAGTGCAGTTCTGAGATTCGCTTCCAGGACAAACCTGTTTTTGAAAGTGGAAGATAGCTTGAGTTCTGGAATTCAAGACCAGCCTGAGCAAGAGCTGAGTAGAGACCCCATCTCTACTAAAAATAGAAAAATTAGTTGGGTGTGTTGTCGGGGCCTGTAGTTCCAGCCACTGGAGAGACTGAGGCAGGAGGATTGCTTGAGCCCAGGAGTTTGAGATTACAGCGAGCTATGTCGCTAGGGAAATACCCAGGGTGACAGAGTGTGGCTCTGTCATTAAAAAAAGTTTTGGGGTGCAGTGGCTCATGCTTGTAATCCTAGCACTCCTGGAGGCTGAGGCAGGTGGATTGCCTGAGCTCACAAGTTCAAGACCGGCCTGAGCCAGAGAAAGACCTCATCTCTAAAAATAGCTGGGTGTTGTGGCAGGCGCCTGTAGTCCCAGATACTTGGGAGGCTGAGGCAAGAGAATCACTTAAGCCCAAGAGTTTGAAGTTGCTGTGAGCTCTGACGTCATGGCACTGTATTGAGGGTAACATAGTGAGACTCTGTCTCACACACACACACACAAAAGTGTTGGATTGATACAAAGTCCCCCCACTCAGGACTGGACAGGGACCCCCTCTCTTGGCCTGGGTGAGCTCAGAAATCAGACCCCCATTTCTAGACACAAACAGCTTGCTCTTTCCAGGCCTCACCCTCTGGGCTCCAGCTAGGTCCTAAACAAAGCAGCTTGAAGGGTTCTGAGTGGTTCCTCTTTGAATAGGCACCACCACACCCTAACTCCTTGCCTGTGTCAAAAACTACAAAGACTATATTCCTGTGCTAATTTTAGGATTATTTTTCGGCCTACAGATCTCTGGCCAATTGTGACACACTATTCCAAGACCCCTCCCCCTCCCCCTGCCCACAGGATAGGAAAAGCAGCATTTAACCCCCCTAGACAAGACTTGGGGGCTTCCTACTTGGATTCCCCCTCCTTTGCTAGAAGTTCTGTTTGCCTTCTTTTGCTTATCATGCTTATTAATCTTTCTCCCTGTCAATAAATCTTCCTGTTGCTTATCTTCGTGGTCTGTGGTTTTATTCTCCCAAGAAATTCTGGCAACAGGATTATGCTTCTTTGAGGAGCCGGGGAGCATGTCAGAGACGTTGCCTGTAGCCCCTCCACTGCTCTGTTTCTGGGTCTAGGATGCTTTCTCTCTCATCAGAGCTTCATCTTGGTTCTCCATTTAATGGAGAATAATTATCAGCGTGTTCTGATGCTCAGCTAAAATAAATAAATTCAGTTCTACATGTTTGTGCATCCACAGTCACGTAGGCTCAGTCGTTCTGAAATCTGAAACTGACACACTCACCTCAATACAAAGAGCCTCATTTCTGTGTGTGCAGGCGTGCGAGTGTGTGCTAATGGCAGTACTTTTTTTAGAACCGTCCTCCGCCGGAGTGGCCCCCCTTGTCTTTTGCAGGTGTGCTGTTTCCTCTCACTGTGCTCTTTCACCCCATTGCAAGAACTGGGGAGAGTGGGGTGGAAACCAAGGGGTCCAGCTGAGAAGGGCACAGGAAGGAGAGGCCTGAAAAGCTCCAGAGCAGCCTTTCAAAGCATTTTGCATTTCACTGTGACAGAGTGGAAGTTATAAAATGCAATAGAAGTGCAGAGCTAACAGCAGGTAGCATCTCAGTGTGTGTGCTCTGTCTTCTGGGGGTCAGGAATTAACATTTGCATTAGTATTGTACATTTTCCCTTGAAATTACTGCCAATTATGAAAACTGGAATAGTGCCTTTTCTCTCCTTTTTTAGCTCTGAGGCACACTCTGAGCTCCTTCATCTGGCTTTTGGATGCAAACCCTGTGTCCTAGATGTTCCATCCTAACACAGTGTCTGAGGCTTGTCCATCCTGTAATTATGTCATACTGAACAAATGTGAAAGGAATGACACAAAACCTACACTTAATCGCAGTGATTATGGTTGGAGCTAACGTAGCCGATTCCATAAATTATTTTTTTCTCCCCCAAAACAAAGAATAAGTGCCCTAGATATTATTTTATACACATACTGCTCACCAACTTCTGAAAACAAGACCAGTGGCTTTAAGCTTTGCACAGTGGAATATTGTGGCCAATGAGGTTTATCTGCAGTGTGATTATTGCTAATTGAAAACTTCCCAATAACCTGCTGTGATGACTTGCAATAGAGTTGGCAATGGCCATGTTTGGCGGTCTCTACGGAGACTGGATTAGAAATAAACTAAAACAAAACCAAACAAGATCAGTGGCTTCTGTTAGTATTCTCTCTCTTTCTCTCTCTCTCTTTTTTTTTGAGATAGAGTCTCACTCTAGTACCCTCAGTAGAGTCCCCTGGCATCATCACAGCTCACAGCAACCTCAAACTTGTGGGCTCAAGCAATCCTCCTGCCTCAGCCTCCCAAGTAGCTGGGACTACAGGCGCTGGCAACAACACTATTATAATGTGAATAAATGAATGATTGCGTGGTAGGTGAATGGTTCATGCCCTTTGATCTCAGGAAACAAGAGGTGTAAAGTCTATGGACATGTGGATGGCAGTAGCTTTTCTAGGGTAAACTATTTTACTAAGCACTATGAGAGCTGCTGATGGTTGATTTTTGTCACTGCATGTCCTAGATTCATATTTCCTAATTAGATACCTCTGCTTTCTAGTCATTGAGTTCCTGCTTTAACTTTCCTTGCCCTCCTGGGTAAGAAAAGTCTCCAGTGACATCCAGTGGGTTTTGGCTTGGATTTAGTGGAGAAATATATTACACACCTAAAATGGATTAGAAAGTTTCTGCACAGGTTGGTCTGGCATGAATGTCCTGCTAGGGGCAGGCAGTGCTGATAAGAACATGCTCTGATGGCAGAAAGTTTGACTACAGATAGGAAAGGTCTAAATTCTTCATGGGAAGAAATCATCATATAAAATTAAAAACTATCTGTACTCTGGATATTCTCTGCTTCTATTCCCACAGTGTGCTAATGCGAAAACTTATGATGCCAAGTTGCATTTGTAAGCAGGTAAAATTTAAATTGGTTAACAGAAAATGAATGAAAGATATTATAAAGTCTTAGACCCAAAACAAAACCAAAAAAGCAATAGTTAAAGGCAGTGCTGAGAAGCAGCTATTACTTTTTTTTTTTTTTTTGGCCCTGGCCAGGTTTGAACCTGCCACCTCCAGTATATGGGGCCAGCGCCGTACTCCTTGAGCCACAGGTGCGACCCACAGCCATTACTTTTTATGTAATCCTTCTCTGGCACACACACATCTGTAAAAGCACCTCCTTTATAAACTTGTTTTAAAATCATGTGGATGGAAATGCAAATAGCAAGATTCACCCCACACCTGCCAGGATGGCTAGTAACAAAAAGAAAAACAAAAACCCAAAAGATAACAAGTAAGTAGAGCAAAAGGAGACCTGGTACACTTGTGGTGGGTCTGGAAGTTGGCACAGCAACCTTGAAACGTGACACTGTTGGGCCAGGCATGGTAGCTCACTCCTGTAATCCCAGCACTCTGGAGTCCGAGGCAAGAGGATCCCTAGAGCTCAGGAGCTTGAGACCAGCTTGGACAAGAATGAGACCCTGGCTCGGCGCCTGTGGCTCAA